ATCACCAGGCGGTTCACATGAGCGGTTCCCTCATGAAAGTCAACACTACAAAACCCGCAGACGTAAATGCCCACACGAAGAATATCAGCACGGACAAATGCTCATTTTTCGCTGATGATATCAAGATATGGCGAAGGATCAGAGGACCGGATGAACACGATCGGCTCCAGTGCGATCTTAACACACTGTCGAACCGGTCAGTTCAAAACGCCTTACCATTCAACGTAGACAAATGTCGCGTTGTGCAATTACGCCATAGACATAACTACACATATTTGCTTGGGACAAACGGATTGCAGACCAGCTCCCAGGAATGTGACCTTGGTGTACCCGTACAGAACGACCTCAACTGTTCAAAACTGGTTGAGATAGCCGCAAAAAGTGGCAACCAGCACGTCGGCATGCTGCGAAGGGCATTCGAGAGATTTGACCCATCAATATTCCCAATGATGCACAATTCCTACGTGTGCCCGCATGTTGAATACACTATCAAAGCTTGGTAATCTTGGTTGAAGCGCGACCTAGAAGCGTTAGAGACACCACAACGAAGAGCAACAAAGAATGTAAAGGGCCTCTGCTATCACACTTAATACCGAAGGATGAAGTTGCTGGGAACTTCCAGCGGACGCTATCGAAGGCTGCGCGGCGATCTCATATTAGCGTAGCAGATACTGAGTGACCCCAACCACGTATGCCGCCATTTGCTGAAACTTAGCCACAACACGCAGCTCAGGGGTAACTTCTTAAAATGGAAGGAACAATATAGCTGTCTAGAGTGTCGACCTAATTACTTTTCCCTTCGGGTTTGCCAACCCTGGAACGCACTCCCAGACTCAGTTGTATCCTCCCCTATCTTGGACGTTTTCACAAAACGATTAGATGTTGCTCTTCGCTCCCAGCATTTTGTTACCTAAACTCCTCTATTGTGGATTACGCCAGGCATACTTTTCAACAGGATTCATGTATCAAATGGACCCAAGTGAGCGACCATATTTTACTTTTCTCACGCCTTACATCAACCATCACTGCACCCCAGTGTCCCTTTGAACGTTTACACTCGATTTATCAATTTTGATGTAATTTATCAACGTATTCATCTAGGCAGACGTTTGGTAAATAACCCACATATATTTTGATTTCATCGTATTCACCCCAACCATCCTACGGGACGTGTCAAGCACTCTCTTTTATCCAGGGATAAATCACTGTTCATTGTTCACTTAATATTCCCACATTCCAGCGTTTTGGCAAATTCGTCACAACTGACGATTTTCTTAATTTGTGACGCTATCAAGATGCCTGTTTTGAACTTTGCTTCCAGCTGTCGTGGAAACATCTTGCAGCTACAGATTGTTATAACTCGCAAGCTACGAACTAGTTCGGTGGCTCAGCACGTACTGAACTGCCATCCACGCCAAAGCCAGCTTGATTGGTTTAGTATAACAGACGGAGCACCTCTCGCCTAGTGTAGTTTGCTGAAGCCTCAGCGACTTAGCGGCTCTAACGCACTTAGTGTGGGCAGATCGATTTCGTGGCTTTGATGAGGTTGGTGATGGCGTCCCGCTGAGCGCGACCCTGGCCGTTATCACATAACCATCGGTCGTCAATGTTTGGCCAATGACATAGCTCTTTGACTGTCTGCTTGTGTGGCCGATTTATTTCACGTGGTATGTAAACGGCTGATGAGAATACGAGAATGTAAACTTAGTGCCAACATATTGCTGTTTCTTGTTGCTGTGCTATCCATTGAGTATTCAACAAGTCAGAAGAGCAACCGAGTTTTAACATACATGGTGTTTGAAATATCTCGCTTTTTGCACAACAGATTTATTCCTCGATGTATGGAGCTTCACTCCCTTATACAGACATGAGATGGCATTCACATAACCGCCGAGTGGGTATTGACATGACTCTTCCTCACAGGCAGACCCCAATACGGCCAGAAGCAGACTGATGCGAGACATGAGAGTAGTCTGTGAAAGACCTCGCAGTAAGTAATGAAGTATGATGACTCACAAGCCCAAACAGTCATGCCTTGCGAGAAATTTTCTGCCAGAGAAAGCGATCATTTGCCTAGTCCAATAACCGTCTGTAGCTGGAAGATATGTTTCCACAGCTGTTGGAGGCAAAAGCAAAGACTGGCATCATGATAGTGTCACAAATAAAGTACCTCGTCAATTTGACGAATTTGCCAAAATGCTGAAATGTGGGAACTTTAAGTGGGTATTTTACCGTGTGGGCATATATATATGTGGGCCTTTACTGTGCAGAATTTTCGTTCAGGAATTATTTCGTTTAGCCTTGCTCCCGGTCACCGTCTGATGCGCGTTATTTCATCTTCCGTCTGAAACGGACTGTATCACGCAATGCGAATCGGATAGTGTTTCATTGTTTTCTTTCAAAAGCATAAAGGTAGGGTCAGAAATAATTTGAAATGGAAGAGTGTTCCCTATCCGGGATACCCGAAGTGAGTAGTTTTGTGGGCAATCATTTCTATTGTACTGTGTGGCCAATTTGAGTTGGCGCCCTCTGAGGTCAGTATTTTGGCTGGGTTGCAACAGATCGAGACAAGCATCGCTGGGCTTCAAGATCATCCACCAATCACCTGACGATTGAAGTGCGTCCATAGTCGACTACTTGAATCCGCTGAGGATATCGCTATTCGGCTATACTCGCCTGAATTGTGTAGCCAGAAGGGTTCACTCAAGCGTCAGACCAGCCTTGGCCTAATCGGATAGCGATATCTGGCCAACAGAGACACTTATAGGTAGCAACATACTCAGCTGACAGTAATTACTAGTTTCCATTGAGAACCGAACGTATCGCGTCGAAGCTTCCGTGGTGTCCACTCATCTCTTTCCTTCGCATGTAGTTGTAGGAGCTTCAAGGTAAATTATCGAAAGATGAGCTGCGCTATATCGTAGCCAACTGTCAGTCATGCAGGTCCGCGGCCGTCACCCATGGCTTAGTGGGACAAGCTGTTGGGAGTCGGAACCCGGCAGGGGTCAGAAGAAGGCGCACCACTGACTGGGACCCAGTAGACCGAAACAGATGGCTGGTGCCTTTCTAGACATGTCGAAGCCTGGTGACTGAGAAAGGACTACGACGAACTACCTCTGCTATTGAACGTATATGTTTACTCGTACTGCTCTTTAATCTTGTGTCGAGAAGACGAAGCAATATCCAGGTAGCTGATGAATAGTGGATGTCATAGGCATCTGCATCTTATCTGCAAGCCAATGAAGAGCTGTCACACTCTATTCCGCCATGGAAGAAGGGCGCGTTTCATGGTGGCGTCCCATTGTATGTCGTAACCGTTGGTCGGATCGGACAAGAGGATTTCCTCGCAGAGCCAAAGACGGTCTCCATAGGTAAACGATTAAACTTACTTGCTTAAACTTACTCGAACCTTGTGCAACACGTTAGGTATGAAGATCCGTCTGCAAAATCAGAAACCGTAAAGCATTTTCTATATTCACAAATAGAGGAACTGCCTGAATGACGGACTGAACGGTATGCGTCTTTACAATATTTTGATATGGAATTCTTGGTGAACAGTGACTGGTCGATATTAGACGGAAATGCATGAAAAAGTGTCACGAGTTAGGTCAGGAAAAATCGATTATCTTCACAAAGATTGCGGGAGATCAATTCCAGGTGGGATTACAATTTGACGGAGTGGCCGACTCCCAGCCATCGCTTACTGTTACCAGGTATTGGCGAAAAAACTGTTACTGAGACGCTGGTTAACTGGCTAACAATACGGTGGTGCCTTGCATCCGCCGGAGACTCAACGCCGATCGAGTGCAACGCTCGGCAGTAGCCAGACGACTGCGGTGGGTGCACCACGGCTGTGTAGGGAACCCCATCGTGTTACCGAGTGTTTGTGCAGGGTGACCGAGGTTCCACCGGACGATCGCCCGGATTTACAGTAGCAAAATGTTTTCAAGTGATGCTTTAAACAACCAACTCAAGTAGGCCAGGGAAATCTTCAGTGTCAATTACAAAAAGTCAGATGTGCGAAGAGTTATCTGTCCATATCGCTCCGCCAAATATTTCTCTCAAAGCCGTAGGTTGCAAGAGTGGAGTGTGAGTTCTAAGCAAGTTTCTCCGAAGATTTTTATAATGTGATTGTTTCATAGTGGCGAACTTACGGAATATGCATTCGGAATGAGTAAGCGCTTTTGTTAGAGCTCGTTTCGAACATGTAGTGCGTGAGGAAACTCTTGTCACTTTAAACTCGCGGACAGCTTATTCTACTGCGGTTTAATTGAACAACATAGGTGATTGCTTGGTAACACTAGAGTCTATTGAAGAAGCCAGCCACAGAGACGAGTAGATGTTATAACGCTCCACCCGCAATCGACCGATTGTTTCACGCCTGCTTTGTTTGACGCCTTGACAAACCCGATATTAAGGAAGACAGAAGGAGGCTCGCGTTATAACAGTAGACAGTTTACTGTCATCTGCCGTGAAAGGCGTCATCTATCGGCAAACTGAAAATGCGAACGAACAGCTTATCTGTTACGTAACCTGACGGTACAAACAGAAACGGATTTAGTGTCCAGAACCACGCCAAGGCAATCCATCCTACATATAATCCTTACGACACTTTGTTGGGAAAATTCCAGTATTCCCAGGAGTCACACTAGAATTATTATTACCTGTTGTTTTGATTTAGAAACGCGCATGCAAATTCGTTCCCGCCTCAGACCAGGACAGGGATTTGTCAATCTCACGAGGCCGTTAGTAGACCTAGTAACGCCAACGGGTTTCATTGATGAGCACCTGAGTTGTCATCAGAATAAATCTCGTTCAGAAGTCTTCTGCCTTGTCGGGGTTTGGACTATTGATGGCAATCCGAATCTGTGTTCCGTCCGTGAGCTGTTGTGTGCCTTTTGTAGATTTACCGTGCTTGCGTGTGTGCGTACTGAAATGCGATGATGTCTGTTGAATCGTAACACCCTTGTGAGCGCCAAACTTCTACTATTTACCTCCAGGATCTGGCTAAGGCGGTCGCTAAGCAGTGTGTGGTTTTCAACTGCTCTGATGGGCTAGATCACCGTGCAATGAGCAAATTTTTCAAAGGACTTGCGCAGTCCGGTGCTTGGGCTTGTTTCGACGAGTTCAACCGTATCGAACTCGAAGTGCTATCAGTGGTGGCTCAGCAGATCTTCTGTATCCAGTCCGCCATCAGTGCTGGACTGAAACGTTTTGTCTTTGAAGGAACGGAACTGAATCTCGATTCCACCTGCGCCATTTTTATCACCATGAATCCTGGATATGCAGGGCGACAAGAGCTACCAGACAACCTGAAGGTGAGCATCCATATCTGCCGTTGAACTGTACTGAAGTCCATTGGGGTAAATTCTAAGAACCCTTTGTTTTCCACATCTCTATCCTATCACATCGACTAAACAAAACTACGCTGCTTTCTAGGTGTTGTTCCGTTCGGTGGCCATGATGGTGCCTGATTACGCGCTCATTGGAGAAATTTCGCTTTATTCAATGGGATTCATCGAAGCACGATCGTGAGTAGACGTGTTACACACCTTTCATACCTATCGTTTAAAGTTGCACCTAGCTCTTTGGTTGTCTGATGGTGGCCTGGTTTCACCGATCCGCACCACTGCTATTCCAACTGGTAGGGTCCACTTCAGTTTCTTAGTAACTACTAAGTGTGCGCAAGCACTTTTCGCATTTAAGTGATGTTAGGGGGGAGGTAGGAGTAGTTACAGTTAGACATTCGCAAAACCACTGCGCATCGGTTCATTCCTTACAAAAGTGTTTAAGCCCATGAGGCTCCGAGCCCATGCTGATGTTACCTTATCCAACCATGTGGTCCACGAAGGGAACAATTTTCTCGATTCAGTCATCTGTGCACAGAGTGGGGAAAGTTGCAAAACATCGTTGGATTCCTATATGCTGCGTAAGCAAGTATCGTGTTATTTCCGCTGCGATCGTGATGGTCCCCTATGGAACGACATATTGCAAAGACCCGCGCTATCGCTGCTCTGAACAGCAAGTGATGGAACTGACACCGGATCTCCTTTCTGCTCTCTACCACTTGGATAAACTCCAGTGAACTTACAAAGCTCATTAGCAGTACACATTCCAGTTGTGGCGTTGAAATCGGTTGTTCGAGGGGACTACTCGGTGCTCTATGCGAACTGGTACGAGCACGTCACTGGAGAGGGAACCTGAGCTTTGCCAAAACTAGTTGGTTATGTTAGTCGCTGCGATCGCTCAGGTGATCTTAATCACTGATCCGTAAGATTAAAGTCACGGACTTCAGCCGCAAACTCGACAGATGCAAGTTGCAATGCTCGCCGGTCCGGAAAGGGCAAAACGGCCGTCCAGTACCATTGAATTTTGGTCATCATTTAATCGACTCTGCTTGTGAGGAGATTTAAACGATTTCACTATTTTTTGCATATAATGGTATGGTACGTGGATATTCCACATTGTGTCATAGCGTTAGTGTCGCTCTTAAGCACAAAATCCGGTGTGCTCTGGAAAAGCCGACTTAATGAACCTGTTTACTGTCAATTTGCCGTTACACTTTTCTATGCAGGGGAATTAGAGTACTCATGTTAGACATCAACAAACCACTTCTAATCGGTCCCCTTTTAGATTGGCCAGTAAAATTGTCGCCACATATCGCTTGTGCTCGGAGCAATTATCCTCGCAGCATCATTATGACTACGGTATGAGGGCGGTCAAATCGGTTCTAACAGCCGCTGGGAATCTGCGTCAAAAATACCTGGAGGAAGATGAATCCGTCTTGTTGCTCAAAGCAATAAACGACGTCAATTTGCCCAAATTTTTGTCACAGGACATTCCGCTCTTCGAAGGTATCATCTCGGATCTGTTCCCGGGTGTTAGCCTCCCCAAAGGAGATTATGATCAGTTCTTGAATGTAATGAAACAACGTTTGGAAAAGCGCGAGCTGCAAGCAGTTCCGTGGTACACAGATAAGATTTTGCAAATCTACGAAATGATTCTTGTGAGGCATGGCCTCATGATTGTCGGTGATCCTCTGAGTGGCAAAACCCAGGCCTATCAAACCTTGGCCGACACGTTGACTCAACTGTCGGACACTGGGATCATGCCCGATGAGAATCCAGTGGTCTATGGGATCATCAACCCGAAGGCGATCACAATGGGTCAGTTGTACGGACAATTTGATCTAGTCTCTCATGAGTGGTCCGATGGAATACTGGCCGTTATGTTCCGTGAATTCGCAGTGGCACAGGACAAAAAACGTCGCTGGGTTATTTTTGATGGTCCCGTAGATGCGGTGTGGATTGAGAATATGAACACTGTGCTAGACGATAACAAGAAACTATGCCTGATGTCAGGTGAGATAATACAAATGTCGCCGTACATGAACTTGATTTTTGAACCTGCCGATTTGGAACAAGCCAGCCCAGCCACTGTGTCTCGTTGCGGCATGATCTACATGGAACCAACCCAACTAGGCTGGCGGCCTATGGTCAAGTCATACATTGAGCACAAGTTACCAAGCGCTCTCGGCGAAGAGCTGTTCGAATTGATAAACGATCTGTTTGAATGGCTGATTGACCCCACACTGGCGTTCATCACTACCAATTGTCGACAGTTGTTCCACGTGTCCGAGTTCCATGCGGTTAAGCAGCTCATCGTGTTGTTCGACTGTTTGCTGGACGAAATTCGTGCTTGGGCGATGACGGATCACTGTAAGTTCAGTGTAACCTGTTCCATAAATTTGAAACAAGTACTTCCACTTATGCTTCCGAGTAGGATTATCTGAGGACATTAAACCGAATCATTTATTGAATCATTCTCACCAATAAAAACATGCGACAAGTAACAGTTCAGAAACGAGATCATGTATGCTGTGTATAAATACTGTAGGTAAAGGCAGACTATTATCATACCACAGAAAAATATTGTACAACATAAACACAGCGAACACAGCGTTTCACCCATCGATCAAGTGAGTTCGGACAACCAATCAGACCTAAGTACGAGCAGATTCACCAGTCGGAGCTGTGAAGGCTACCACAATCTGAGACCGCTCGGTGGCAGATCACTGACCAGGTTTATGGTTAAAACAGTGGATCCCCTTCAGCCATTTCGTCAGAGCAGTGAGAAGACATAAGTTGCGATATGTCAACATTTCGCTTGTTTTCATCAGTTGCAAACACAATACAAGCGGGATTCATGGACAGTTATATACAGGGGGAAAAGTTGGCACACCAATCAAAATGTTAAAATCAAGACCACGGTAACCTAATTGATGGTCACAATAGTTTCTGTGCACATAACACAGGTTGATAAGCCCTAATTAGCAAAGCCTCACTAATTGACAAGATAATCGGATTGTTATTGCGTAACACCTTGAACGCAGTCTCCGGGTTCACCTGATGTCGGGTTGCCAAGAGATGCTTGGTGATAGATGATGCGGGACTCCTGTTCATCCTCGGATCCACTCCGTTTTGTTGCACCATCAGTTGCTCCAACCACCTCGGCACATGTTTAGCTACCCTCTGAGCTAACTGACGGTCAGTCTTGCCTATGTAAATGTCACCGCAACCGCAGGTGAACTGGTAAACGACGTGAGACGTGTATATAACTGTCCATGAATCCCGCTTGTATTGTGTTTGCGACTGACGAGAACAATCGAAATGTTAACATATCATAACTTATGTCTTCTCACTGCTCTGAGGTTTATGGTTCACAGTTACCGTCGGCTACATTTCTACACAGAGTGACTGTCGCTCTCGATGGCTACTCTCATCATCGCAAGTAGTCTGCGAGTGTGGAACCCTCAACCGTACTTTAGGACGGTGCTCAGTATATGGTAAGTGTCTCGGTTTCTCAATTCGTTCCACTCGGTCATCAACAGTCATACTTCACTTATTACCAAATTCCAGATGTTACAGCAGCGTAACAATAGGGTCGTGACCGCGACCTACGTTTGCCAGAGAAACCAAGGTTGGGCAACTGAGCAAAATTTCCTTGTGGCTAACCAGAGCCAGTTCTGTTTGCTTGGGCCAAACATAGATCCTGTGTCCTATCAGAAGTACCACTTTACTCGGACCCTCTACTTGGCCACCCAAACCTAAAAAAGGAATTGCACCTGCTTGTATGGTATCACCGAGCAAAGTAAGCTTGAAATTGCCAACTAGATTTGATCAGCATCCCGAATCCGACCAGCTTCGGAATTCGTTCCCTCACGAAGACTGATGCACCTCTAGGAAATGCTACAGTTCGAAATTCTCGAGAAATGAACGAGGTTATCGGATTGCTGCTGTTCTGTTCATTTGCTCTGAGGTAAAAACAAGTGTTCGTTAACTTTTTGATTCGTTCGCCGACCTGAGTACTTTAATGGAAAACTTTTCACCACACCGTGAGATTTTCTTCTACGCAGTATTGCACTGAAGATGTCACTGAGCGAAGTGCTGAAACGTTTGCCATTAAAGTACTCAGCTCGGAGAACGAATCAAAACGTTAACTACCAACCAGAGTTACAGGCATTCCAAATCATTGCAAACAATTGTTCGTCCACTGCAATCATAACTGTCGGAACCCTTTTTGGTCTCTATAACTGAAAGAGATGAGTGCCACCATGTTCATGAACTGCGTTTCCTCCCGTTTCATCGAACACAGAAAAGCCAACTAGTATCGCAAACCTTTCAGAACAATTCTGCTGGGCGGCAGGCGCTATTAACAGAGAATCTGTATCTCGCCTAGCCCATTCAATGCATTAGCCGAAAGTGTTTTCCAGTCTTTTCGGTAACTACCTACTTAAGTCCTGTTTTCATTTTCGGTCAAATTCTCACGATGAATGAGGAAATATTACTTTCACAGCTGCGCAGGCTGCCGAAGGAGTAAATCAGCCTCAGACTATGTCAGGTCAAACAGTGTACCTCCAACTACACGCCATCTTTATGTTCTCGGTCGTTTGGAGCCTTGGAACGGTGTTACCTACGGAATCCCGCGTACGTTTCGATGCGTTCTTCCGTGATCTCGTCTCCGGTACGAATGTAGCGCATCCAAAACCAAAGACAATCAAATTGACGAAAAGCAACTCGTTCCCTGAACGCTTGACAGTCTATGACTTTTGGTTCGATAAGCGGTCCAACGGTTCGTGGCGTGAATGGAGCCAGTGCACTGCGTCAGGCCTAGACAGACTAGATGAAACCGAGCCGGTGGATCCTATGACTGGTGTCCCGACTGGCGGCACAGTAAGTCCCACCGCCCAGGACGCAGGAGCAAGCGATTTCATCGTGAACACTGTGGAGACAATTCGCATGAACTACTTTTTGAATTTGTACATCTCGCGTCAAGTCCCACTGTTGCTAGTGGGTCCGACTGGTAAGCAAAACACCGCCAAAACTCAGTTAAAGCCATCCATGTCCCATTATCACACAATCTCAATCGGTCTGTCCGAATTGTAGAAGTTGTGTTGGTGACCCGTCGACAGATTTGCCATCAGTAGAAACCAATCGTACGTTAGACCATGTAGATCTCCCGATGTAGTCCGTTTCTTAGACCAACTTTCAGGAGTAACCTGAATTAATGCGCGAACTTCATTGCACATACCCTTGTGTTATTATAACTTGGTGACGCATGGTGAAAGGCCGCACTAGTGGTTAGAGCCGTTACCCACCGCGGCGCAATTGCGCCCCGTTGTACTCGGTACTTGTGCCTCGCTGTTAAACTTTCCTTTGAAATAGTTCAAGTTACTTTTGCTAGTTCTTTAATTTGGGCTTGTTCGTCAATTGCAATTTCTTCGTTTTGTCACATGGCTGTTAGTTTATATTTTAGGGCGGCGCGAGCACAACAAGTGATGGTAACACAATTCGAGATCCGGATAGTATTTGCTTAACTGTATCTTCTTGCCTCCGTTTATGCTTCGGCATTTCACTGAAGTTCTTGCGTTCAGTATGATCTTGAGTGAATCCACAATACTATTCCCAATTGCTGTAGTAATCACGTGGTGGCTGCATCGCTCGCCTGCGGTTATGACACGCGAGTTGGTTTCGGTTTCGGGATCGTGTGGCATCTGTACTCTCGTATAGGCAAGGAGGCGTATGTGAAAGCTGACGTAGTGGCGACAGCCTTTGCGCTACATTACTTAACGCGCAAGGTGGAATTTGTTTTCCTGCAATACAGAGGAGCTAGCAAGGAGAGGGAACAAATTCACGTTGTTTAAAAAGGCATTAGCAGTACGCCGGTACGCAGTATGGACGCTTTGCTGCCACGCGACCACGACAACCAGTCACAAGCAGGCAAAGAATATTGCGAGTCGCCCGGTCCCCTACACGGGCTCTGAACCGCAACCTCAGGATTACAAAGCAGGTTTGTGATCCATTAGACCACATTGATATAACACGCCACAGTGGATGGAATTAATGGGGATATTTATAATCTAAAAATTCTTCACTAGTTGAGTGGAATGTTTGTACAACTGAACTGTGTCTATGGGCTCTTAACAGGCAGGCTGAGGCCCACCGGTGTAATGGTCACGCAAGGCGAGACAAATTCTGATGGGCTCGCACCGACTCTTAGCCGGTATTGTCAGAACACGCGATAATGCGTATCGGCGAAGTAAAACACAAAACCAGGCAAAGCAAATGCCAATAGCACGGAATCTACCATGTGTGATAGTTGAAACATGTGTGCTTTTATAGTAGATAGGTTTTGCACAAGTGTTGCATGTTGTGTGGGCTAGGTGACAAGAACAATGTTCTGTTACACAAAGCAAACACAAGATTCGTGGGTGTATACCCACCTGCAGTCAGTTGTGCACTCAATTCGGAACGTTGGTTTTTTCGCTTCTTGTGGCGTGGTAACAAGTTCGAACACAGTTCCGCGACGCCGTCTGGCTCCGGTTTTCCAAAAGCTGGATTCTACTCGTGTTAGGTTGGCTCTAACCCTAACATCTCCCTCCTTGGAGATGTCAATCGTAGGAACGCTTCCGAGGATTTATCTGCAACCGCGTTGTAGTCTTCCGAGCGCGATCGGTAGGGCGCCTTAGTTGAAAAATAGCTGGCGGCGTCTTTGGTGCCTCTGAATTTGCTATGGACCCTGGGAGGTTGAAAGCGTCAATCAGTATGTCCAGAGGCAGTTTGCGGGGCCTCTGCTTTTCTGGCATGCACTCGGTTGGTCATAACTGACTCACATGGTGAATCCACAATTGTGATCCTACCAGTATCTCGTAAGTGACTTTTCCTCGCCTACCAGTGATCCTTCCTGTTACCCAGTTTGATCGACCGTTGCGGTGGTTGCGTGCGACGACTAGTTGGTCGTGGGTGAACACGTTGTCTTGCCGTTTGATGTTTACAGAACCGTTGGCCCAGAGCACCTTTTGTTCTTCAGCCAGTACTTTCATTGATGGTCGAAAGGCATCAAAAGATGTTCGTAGTTTACGATTCATCATAGCTTCTGCCGGGGAAAATCCATTCGGCGTCTGGGGGTTCGGTGTGACACGAAATAAGAATAAAAATCTTTCGAGGATTTCCTGCGTCGTTCTTTCTCCCCGTTGATTTCAAGAGAGCACGCTTAAAGTGTCCACGAAGCGTTCAGCCAGGCCGTTGAATTGTGTGTGAAAAGATGGTGTGCGAACGTGACTTGTTGCACAAGTTGTACAATAGTTCGAGAATCATACTGAAGTGTATTGTGTACCATTACCACTCACCAGCGTTTATGAGTAGCTAAACCGGCTGAACAACTGTCTTACTTTCGAAACGGTAGCTCCACCTGATATGTATTTCATGAGAAACACCTCGGACCATTTGCTGTATGAGTCGACGACGACTTAAAATTTGTTGCCATTGATGGGTTCCGCAAAATCTACATGCACACGTGTTCACGGTTTGTCAGGTGTCGACAATGGATGGATTTCTACTTTCGGTGTTGCTTTTGCTGCAAAACGCGCATGTGTTGCAGCCCTTTGCTAATTCTTCTAGTTGTTTGTCCAAGGGACGCCATTAGATATAACCGCGTGCTAGTCCTTTCATTCGGTTTATTCCAGGGTGACCAGCGTATGCCTTGGGAATCACAACCCCATCTGCAAAACGAAAGCAGTCATCTACACTAGACAGCGAGTGTATTATTTGGTAGAACTGTTGAAGGTCAGCTGATGTAGATGGGCTTGGCCACTTCGTTCAGTGGTAATGGGCCACTTGTTTAAGTAAGGGATCCTGGAAGGTAGCATGGCGAACCGCATCTAAGGTAACCGGAAGATCCTGCAAGACCTCATTTATAATAAATCTATGTCTAGTTCCGTTGCTACGGCTGCAATCACAGTGTCTTTCTGGTTCTGTTGGTGAGGTCCTATGAGTCTAGCTAAAGCGTCTGCCTGACCGAAAGTCGTAGTTGACTGATAACTTACGTCGAAACAGGCTGTATCCACGGACGTCGCGGATTTTTGGATCAGCGTGTGCTAGATGCTACCTTTGCCTCAGACTACTGTGTTATCAGCGTTTTTTCTGTCTGCATTGTGCACCAATATTCTTCTTTTGGCGTATTTTTCAAGCGGTGTAAATTTGGCGACTATTCTTTGGCTTATTCCGGAGATCTCATTGGTTTGTTCTATTGCCATCTCTGTCCACCATCTTGGATTTGCTCTAGCTTGTGATGCCGTCTCAAGCTACTTGTGCTTCGTGTTCGGAAGTTGAGGGAAATAAAGCTCATGCACTTCGGTGCTTCGGCTGTGATCTGTTGTTCCATATTTCGTGCATCGGCTTATCCGTTGACGTGTTTCGAAAATCGCCCGACATCCGACATCGGTTTTTTCAACTTAGATATGATAAATGACGTGGTACAAGACATCAGAATACGCAGCGACCGCAAACAACTACGCGAAAATCTCTCTTTCAAATAGAAACAAACCGTTTACCACGTGGGATCAAATGCTCTCATGAAGGTACCTCTGTCACCTTGCCTTCTATTGTCACTGCGCGATCTGCACCACCACCAGCGTCTTCGACCCCGACCGAGCCCCAGGTTAAATGTTCCCCACCGATGTAAGACTCAGACTCGGAAGCTACGAAATGCCGCTTCACTGATCGGTCCGTGAATTTCTCAGAGCCTGTCTGTGAACTTCTGAACACCGAGGCTCCATGGACCACTCAAAAGCGCAAGGGTCCACATAATCGAGTTCAGACGTCACCTGCTGATAAGCAACAGCCAAATCAGTTAAGCGCTTCTAGTTCTGCTCCCACAGGTTCATCACTGATTTCGCTGAGGCGTCATGGTCTCATGGTCTTCCACATACCGCCGTCAAAAGATGCAAACCCTCAGATACGTTATGATCACGATGTTGAGCTTTCCAGGGGCTCATCGATAGACTCTTGGATGTAGGCGAAGACAGTGTGACGATTAAACAATTAATCCGACTTGACCAGAAAACTAACCAGTCATGTCGACCTCTGAGAATCACCTTCGCAAATCTCTCCTAGTTTCAAAATGCTATAGGTATAGCGTCTAGTGAGAGGACGTCATCACCTTGCAGGCTAACCACTGTCCGTGACAGTGGTAGATAGGTAGTGCTATATCCCAGCTAGTTTGCAAATTATGTAGCCCAGCCGACGTCCCCCATGGCTCAGTGGCTTAAGCTGCTGGCTAGTTGGCATCTGCCTCTAGCGGTCATGGGTTCGATCCTCATTAGAGGACCGAGGGAATGCGCGCCACTGACGAGTCCCAATAGGGCGAAACGCGTCTGGCGCTTTTCCGGACTAGGCTCTGCTATGTAGCTTGTGAACTGTTGGGATGAAAGCCTTATCAAATCCCAATATGCCGCAGCTTATACTGTCTCGTCTGTCAAGGCTGAAAAGCATAAAAGTTCACATCCGCAGAGTTGGGACCCCAAGACAGGGATCGTTTGAAGACTGCGGCCATTGAGCTCCAACGCCTTTCAGAGGAAGGTGAAACTGACTTACAAATTGTAAATTTTCGGGTGATCAAGAAGGGTGTACGAATCCGTATCAGCCGGTTGCTCAACCTCTAGGCACGTCCCGCAGTACCTCCCAGGACCTCCGTGTGGCATTCACCAACCTGTGCAGCCTACTGAACAAATGTGACGAACTGTGCCGCTTCGCTGTCTCGGAGCGGCCGGAAGTTTTAGGACATGCAGACTTGGCTAAACTCCGACGTCATACTCCAAGAAGTAGTGTTGTCAGGATACTTTTTTCGATGCAACCGAAGATCAAAGGCTGACGGTGGTGTTCTGTTGTACATAAAATCGTCACTATCTGGCAAACTTACCAGCACCTATCGGAGCGAGGATAGTTTATGAGAGCAATTGTGGTGCACAGTCCGCCTCAGGCGCGGAAATCTAATAGTGGGGGTTATCTACCGGAGCTCATTAA